TGCTATCCTTCCCCTCGTCGTTTGAGACTATACCTAATCGTTAAAGGGGAAACGCACCCAAAACTTTGAATTTAATGAGGGACTTAAAGAGCATCGCACGGAAGAAACGAGAAGTACGAAAGAGAGTTGCAATTTTTATAATATAATATAAAAAGCGTAGCATAAGATAAGATTTGTTACCGTCAATCCTAGAAATCTCGACGGATTAATCCGTCAACCTAAAAGTCTACGACATAATCAGATCACAGATCTACGCTCGTAACTCAACAATGTGGCTGCACGACAATGTTGTAGGGATATTTACATCGCGCGCGGAGACACGCGGACGTTTCTCACGTGTCTCGTGGCGAACCATCATATTTTGGAAGCACGTCACGGAGGCCGTCTCGTGGTCCCGTGCAGCTCGTAAAGCGGCACCGTCGCAGCCGGCTTACGAGTTGCCACAAAAATAGTAGTTTGGGGGGAGGGGGAGGAGACTCGTAAAGCTTCGCGCGTGATTTTGTTGCCCGTGAAACGCGCCCTATCCTCATTTCTTCCTGCCACCCTCTTATTTGCCGCCTTCCCTTCTCCCCTTTACTGTGATCCATCGCGAAACCTGACATCTAACCCTTCATTAGCTTCACAGCTTGCTCGTACTTTACCAAAGTGGACCGCGGCTTGTAATATTCACGTCTGAGTGACAACGTTATTTTGGGAATGAGGCGGAAAAGGTCTCTCGTGATTCGTGTTTTATTCCCTTTAAATGGGGATATATTTCTACGGACGGAGAAGTTGAGCTGCATTATACTGTATCAATATCATATATAATATTTGTTGCGTATCACTTTGTCGCATCATTGTATATAACATCGAAGTGCTTTGCAAAGAGTCTTCGAACTTGATTATTATTACCCTGTAATTTATAAGTTGTTGAATTCTGTAACTGCTCGTGATCGTTTGTTTACATATATAAATAAATTCGTATTCTCTAAAAGACGTCTGCGAAGAACTTTCATTCAATTTTGTGTATAAATTGCATGCGTAGACTCTCTGATTTCCCATGGTTATTTTTGTCTTTATTTTTATCGCGTAATTCGACGATCAGGCTGGAAATAAACCTATCGTTAAAGCTGAACAATAATGTGAACACAATATGGGATGTACTTTCCTTTTACCACCGGAATCGAGAAGCGATATAAGCGAATTATACAGCTGCTGCCTCGCGGCAGCCAACCCTTTAATTAGCAGGGATTAAAGGGGTCGCCTACGTGATACATAATCCTCAAACGGGCTTCGATTCCTTATCTAGCTAACTCAGGAGATACACGTGACTAGAATATAGCAGTCGACGGTGAGATAATATAGCCGTTTAATTGATGAATTTTTAAACGTATTGATTTCTCTTTTCTTAATGGCACTCTTACGTATTAATTTCTTTTTACTTAATGACCTTTTTTGCGAAGGTCAATTCGGCCAAATTAAACGGTATAATTTATTGTATACGCTGCTTGTATTACATTAACGGCACATTATTCGATCAATTGGAGAGATCAACTACTTTAGAAAACTTTGAAGAAATAATTGAAATAATATTGTCATATTAATGTCAAATTCTTGAATGCGTGAAATTATTTGCTAATACGTCTGTCAATAATGGCAAATATATGTGAATAATAAATATCTCTCGCTTGATAAACTGTTTGATCAGTAGCTGACGTATACACGGGATGGTTTTCCGATGGAACATAAATTGTTCGGTGGCTCCGTGTTTCGCGATTGGCGACTTAAATATTTGAATGCGTTAAGGACTGACGCGTGCAAAAATAACGCGGGACTCGTAATTACGATTTCATATCTCACCTATTTACACAAATGAATCATTCCGTGACGCGTGTTCAATTGCTGATCGAGTAATCCGATAGAGATGCATGCAATGTTTCCACATTACTAAAATATATTGATACTTCTCTTCTGATTTTGAATGTTTGTGTATCGCAACATCATATTCAAAATCAGAAGAGAAACATCAGATATTTTACAAACAGCGATATTCTTAACATCTTCTTCTTCTTCGTATGCCGTATCCATCTCGGATGTAGGCAACCTCTTCTGCATATATCCATAGATATATGGGATCTACAGTTTAACGCCGGCTTCCAAACGGCTAATTTTTTTTTACGAAGAGGTTCTCTTGGCAAAGATACTCTCGGTGGTTTTTTGCCGTTAGCCTTCCGAGAAGCGGCGATCGCTTCCAAATCGATTAAAATCGATTTCAGAGTTATATTACTCTGGGTGAATTTAAACCTGGATCTTTAGCACAGAAAGCTGCCGCGCAGCTCCTCACACCACGATCACCATTCTTACATCGTTGCTGCCTAAATCTTTTTGTATAAAATATAGGCTATTATTCATTCTCGCAATATCAAATAAATAAAAAATTATAATTTATTAAATTAATCATTAAACTAAACTCGCTTGTTGTCTGTGTCTTTTACGCAAAAGTACTTAATAAAATTGATGTCCCATTAAAGTAACGCCAGAAGAAAAACGAGGTAATGTCGCCATGTGTGAGTTTTTCCTATGAGAATGAGTCTTCGATGCGCCATAAAGAACGTCGAATTTCTTCGTCGTGGACGAAGCCGATTGAGCTGGAGAAGCGGAGTGAATCGCGGCGGCACCTCTATTAAGAATAGAACGGGGCGGATTTAGATATCCTCGCGTCGCAGTCGCGGCACCTGACTGACTGGGATGTCCGCGCGAGAGGGAGCGTGGAAAATAGCCTAATCTCGTTTAGACAAACGAGCAGCCGGCGGCCCGGCGTATCGTCAAACATTGACGCAGCGTGTTAACGTCATTGTTCGCGACGCGTAGCACTGATTTCACGTATAGTTTCCCCTTATCAACGCTTATCTCGTCGGGATCTCAGCGCGAGATTATACGAGCCAAGGTAGCTCGTGCTCCCTCTCGTCGTCGGCATCTGTGTGTGCATAACGCGATAGCGGTGGTCGCCTTTTTAGGCTGGTGTCAAGTGAGATGCACTTGAGCATCGTAAGAAAAATGCATCTCTTTAAAAATTTTTAAAGATAGAAACACACAAGTTTGATTAGCAAAAAATACTGTCTCTCTTCTCAATTAAATTCTAAACGCAACTGATTGGTACTTGAATATTAATTTAATATTAAATATAAATGTTATATTAATATTCTTTTGTTTTTAACGTAACGTATTATATGACGTGTGTGCGTAGATATAGCGATTGCGTTATCGCACAGCGATTAGGTCAGCATAGCGAATCGTTGTGTCTTTAGCGCGTGTTGGATAGCAATTCGTATACGATAATAAAATATCGGCTTATTTATAATATTCCGTTACTCGGTCGTTATGGCCGACGTTTATGGCAGCCGTATTAATAAAGGGGTCGCGTGTGTGCCGTAATAGAGGATTAGGCCTCCCCTTCATCGTGGATGCTCGCCATCGTTACGCCTCACGCGTTTATCCTGCCCTGTGTATAATCCGCGGTATAAATTTCAATGCACAGATCGCACAATCTGAGCCGCAAACTCTGTATACACCCAGCATCCGCATTGCGTCACGCGCGTCAATTACTCTCCCTTCTATCAAACGCCGAATATTGAATTAGAAGATCGAATGTTTTCAATTGCGAAATGTTCGACGCCGGTTAATTCGACAATTAACTTTAAACGCGTACAGTCCGCGCAACGTGAATTGCACAGATTCTCCTAGACTGTATATGTATTCTTATACCGTCCAGCGTGACAGACGTGTATGACATGTTCATGTACTCCCGCACGTACTTGATATTGCTAGATATATGCGCTATATTGGATAGACGTGACAGATTTCTCAGCCGTTGAAATATTGAGCATCGGACAAGCATAGATGAGCTTATGCCAAGTTATACCTGCATGCATAATGTCGCGTGCCGTCTTCTGGGAATGCATCGTAATACATCCTGAGAATTCCGTTGCGTTACTATTTAATTTATAATTCAAAATATTTTCCTTCCCTACACAATCGTAGTGATATTCTTCTCGCGCACGTATCGTGATAAATTATTTTCCACTTCTTAATATGTTGTCGTCAATATTGCTAGTATTATAAACGGATTATATATCGGGCAACAATCGTGACAGTTACTTCTACGTGTAAATGCATCTATCGAGCGACCGCGGTGCAAGAGGATCGTGATTGAGGGAGAAATTGGCCTTTGGGTGGATTCGTTGTGGTTTTTATGAGGCTGCAAAAGCGATTACTGCGGATTGCTCTCATTAGAGAGACGGCCTCGTCGACGGCGCCGCGGCCGTAACCGCGGGCGTTTCGCATCAAAACGATGCCGCGAATGCAATTAGATTTAACGCAAAATTGAATTACGCGGAAAACCGATCGCAACGCGCGGCCGCATTGTTTCACGACTGATTAACAATCGCATGTAAGATATAACGTATTGTGAAATTATATGGAAGAGACATTACACGTACCGAAAAAAAAATCTGTCAGTTAGAAGTCAAATACATTTTCAAAGTAATCTATAAAGTTTAGAAAAGGTACTCTTAGAAATTTAAAGGATCGAAACTACGAAATTGCAGAAATTCTAGAGTTATACGAAAATTGCGAAAATTCAAGAGTTACGGAAATTCTAGAATTACCGAAACTCTTTTCCGCATTCCCGGTTCTTCCTCACTTTCGCTCTTTCCGCGATGCGAAAAAAAAAAGGAAAATATCGAGGGAAAAGGGGTTACTCTAGCGTGAGGTGAGTCGCCGACCAACTAGAGCCGTGACCTTGACCGTTTGATGATCGAACGAGCACGCGCGAGGTGGCGGTCGCGTATATCGCGCCGGCAAAATTCGACGATCCACCGCCGGGAAAATCGAACGTGGCGGACGTCGCATGGCGACGGCTCGTGCGCGAGACCAGACGTCGCTTTTTTACGCTGACGCCGCGAAATACCGTCGTCCGGCCGCGGCCAGGCGATTTCTGGCTTGCGATCGAAGAATCCCCGATGCCAGCCCGAAGCCAGTCGATCGTGAACTACCTCGATGGCAGCAAAGGCCAGATTTCGCCGGCGATCGATCACGGTTTGTCGCGATAAGCGACACACGGTGTACATCATTGATGTCCTGAGGTGGCCGGAGGACAGAATGGGGTCGTGAAAATAATGGACGAGCTGGATCTCTCAACGGAATTCACGTCTTTTGTTATAGTTTGTGCTTTAACGCAGAGAGCATTAAGTGTGCGCGGGTATTTTATTTTCAATCGCATCTAATATACAACAAGTAATAAGAAGCTAAAGAGTAAGCGAACAATATCGCGATGCGATTATAAAATAAATATGTCGTCTCTTGTGCCGGAAAGAACAGTGTTGCCTTGGTGTTTCCTTATTTTTGTAACAATTGTGACAGGACATTTAAACATAGGAAACTTTGACGAACAGAAAAATGTCTCTAAACGTGAGTACTTCCGCTTAACAATATCAAAATTATAGCACACAATTACTAACTTATCAGAGTATATTTGCATAAATCAACAAATTTTCTTTTTAAAATAATTATTTATAAAATTGCATTTTTCATTATTACCATCTATTGATTGTTATTAACTAATTAATCAATTTGAAGTAAAAGAAAAAAATATTCGCATGGATAATGAAAACTTTATAACAATTTCGCATTACCAAGAATTCCATGTCGTTAATCTATTTTTATTGCTTGATTTTCATTGCATCGACAAGCATCGCTCGTTTTCTTTTAACTCTCAAGAAAACTTGAGAGTTAAAAGAATTAGGAGATCCTGCCGTTGTACAATAATTCCGGTAGTGATGTTTTCGACGTGAAAAAGTTCACCAAAGTCTTGTAATACAGAAAACAACGGAAGAACCTCGATAATGTGCGCTCGTGCGTATCTGACGAAATTCATCGCCGCGCGCCTCGATGTTCCCCGGTCTGTCTTGCCGGTTCTTCCGGGCTTCCGGATTTCCGGGGGCTGCGACCCCCTCGAGGAGCCGGCCGCGAGACTCGTGTCGAGGGAGCCGGAGGTCGCGGAGGAGCGGAAGGTGTCGATCGATGAGTCGTGTGCCGTACGAGGACGGGTTGGTTTCCGCGCGGCTTGACCGTCGCGTGTTATCGATTCGAGCGAGCACACACAGTCTCTGGCATTCGGTACCGCCTCGCTTCATCGCCGTGAATGAAAGACACGGCATGCGACGATCAGCCGGTGCGATTTAACGACCCGATGTCGAATGGCGTGATCAGTGATAGAGATAAGATTTTCCTTAATGCGAGTTATTAACCAAGAAACGTAAACAAAAATAAAAATATAATTTTGATGATTATCGGCATAATCTCGATCGAATTTCAATGTTTACAATTGCATCTCTAAACATAAATAAATATTATATATTAAATATTTCGTCCTCGCAAATTTCTTATAAATATTTATAAAATGGTAATTTAATTTTTATATCGCGCAATATAATACACATACAGTGTAAAAATATAATTTTATAAATTTAAACTTTTGCGATGACGTCGCTCAATTTGTACTTATCGATATAATTGTAACAGTCGTGAAAGCCAGAAAATGTGACGGCGACGGTCGTGCCAGGAGAGACACCACGTGTCACGCGTTCTCCCTCACTCTTTCGCCCTCTCCCTCTCGCGAATTTGACGATAATGCCGCGTACGGTTCGATACCGGGCGTCGCGACGCCCGGCAGTCTGCCACTGTTCCATTTCATCCTTCACCCAACGTCATCCCGTCTTAGGAGACACTTACGCGTTTTCTAGCACCGATGAAATCTCTCGGATATTTATCTCTTATGCGAGTCACATTGGCGCCACTCTTCCAACTTTAGTTAATAGGAAATTACAATAGCAATTTTATCAATGGTGTTATAATAGAAAAATATATTAGAAAAAGACATATTTCATAAAATATTAACGGAGCTCAAAATATGAGGATTAAAATGTTATAATTAATATGATTAAAACACATAGAATTATTTAATTAGAAAAGATAAAAATATATATAAATCTTTGCATATCACAAAGAGTAGACACGCAACACCACAATCGTCGCACATTTATATAATTAAATTATTTTTAGCTATATAAAAGACAAAAAGAAATATTTCTTTAATAAAAAAAACAATATAATTTAATTTCCAATTCTATTTAATTCCTATTAGTATATTAGATTATTATATTTATAAATAGCAAAATAATCAAAAATGCGAAATGTAACAAAGACAATATCTATAAATAAAAGTTCCATACATTAAGATTGGCAGATAAATATAAGTATGGACAACGAGAGCCAATCGATGGTAATATTAATTTGCCGGACGATTTGGTTGATGAGTACCGCCAAAGCCTTGGGATATAAGATGACGCGTGTCTCTTTCAGTTTGCAAAGACAGCAGGATGAAAGGAAGAAGGAAGTTTTTAAGGCTTCTCTTTGCGCGTACATCGTTTAATTAAAGGAAACTGACGCGCCTTTGGAGCAGTCATGCGTAAAGTCTTCTTAAAATTAATTAACATTAACATTTTTCATATTATGTATAATAATTGCAATAATTAATCGTGATACGTATAACTCTGCTGAATGTAGATTATTGAACATAGTTCAATGTTTATCATATATATTAAATATAGTATAACTTTGGTCGTGGCGTTTTATTAAAAAATTCATAAAATATAAATGTCAAATTAAACAGTTTAACTTAATTTTGCACAATGCAAAAATATTTTATTTGGCATGATTATCATTAGACGATCATTATAATTTCTTCTCAAGAAATTTTTTATAAAAAAATTTACTGCATTCAATCAAAGAGTAAGAACATGTATTATGAGATTATTTTCGTAAGAAATTGGGTCTATCGTTTGTGATGTGAAGGAACATTAGTTTGATGTATAATGTGTTTGCCTAGCGATGTGTGGATCTCCGCAGTGTTCAAAGAGGCGCATATGCGCGTAAATAAACTTTGAGGACGCGAAATGATCGGCGTGAACCTGCTTACAGACACCTGCCTGGTGTTTTCTTAGCGCGGGCTAAAAATATCATTCTAGATTTCGGTGACTGCATTTAAGCAAATCATACTCTTGGACGCACGCCTTCCTGTTGGCGGGGAATGTTGCCAACACTGTTTACGTTCTGATTTATTCATTAACTCTCCGCGTTTTCCTCCGCATTTCTACTTCTTTATCTTCCGACATTATTACAGTGAATGCAATCGATTGAAAAGCCCTCGCTGCCGATCGCTCCGACGTCGTCGTTTTATTAATTCATTTCTATTATCGAGAAGGGACAGGAGATCTTAATTTTTAAATTGTTAGAAAAAGAGTTGTAATCGGATCCAATATTGGGGAAAGTATTCACATCTTCGTTATTATTAATCTTCAATCGATTTTATAACAGCCAACAATTTACCTACTATAGAATTAAATACATTGTTATTTTAGTTATTTTAATCAAATTTAACTAAATAAATTACAAAACTGGACTGTAGAAATGCATCAGAATTATTCTACATAGTAGAAATAGTAACAATTTTCGTAACCCAATTAAAATTTTTTTTGCAAATATATTCCTTGAATTTTTTATAAAAAAATTTTTCAAACAAAGAATTTGGTAAAAGAAAGTTTTATATCTAGATATTTTAAAATTTTAAAGAATAAATCAGATTTTTTCCAAAGAACTTTTTCCAATTTTCATCGATATGAAGTAACTCTTATCGTTATAAATATATCAAACTTTAGCGTATCAGTTCTACCCATCCTATCCATTAGCATTCTCTTTCGACTTTCTACCAATCAGCCTTGTCAAAAGGGAAGACCAGGTTTTCGTGGCGACCATATGTCTCACGTAACCATTCACGTCAAGGGTTGTCGCTCATCGCGAAAGTAGCCAGTTCGATAGAGGGATCGTCCGCCCAAAACGAACAGACCGACAAACTTTTTTCCACGGGGCTTCAATCATTATCAACGTGAAGTCAGCGCGACAGAGGCGGAATGGATTTCACGTATACAGAGAAAAGGAGTAGAGAGAAAGAGAAAGAGAGAGGAGATGCGATAGATAAAACTGCAGGCTGTTTACGGGGGCGGACGGTTTCGCGGAAGGGGTTGAAGGCTTCATGGAACGGGGAAAAGCACGGAAACGCCGATAACGAGCGTCGACTGTGAAGAGTCGATCAATACCGCCATTTCGAGAAGTCTACATCGTCTATGATCGTTTTCTTCTTCTTCTTCTTTTCCCTCGTCCTGGCCTTCTTGATTTGGTCTGATGAAAGATTGCAGGTTGTAGTTTCTTTGGGAGATTAATTCTACCACGGAATATCTTTCCTTGCCAACGAATGTAATCGAAAACGAAATCGAATAGTCGCAAAAGGAAGAAAAATGGAGTCATGATAATTTGTTCGATGAAAAAAACAAATTCAGAAGCCTTTTTACATAGCGCAAAGATAAATTTTGCGCATTTTGGATCGAAACGTGATGTTGCTCGATTGACATAGCGATGAATGTAAAAGTTTTGGAAATAAATCATCGGTCTTCGACATAATTGATCGCCATCTCAATGAATTTTACGTAGCAGTGATATGAATGAAAGAAATTAATATTTTCGAAAATATAAAGAAATTAATATTTTCGATTTTATTTTTCACAATTTTCATGTATGAGAAACTTTTAGTCATTCTTGTTTATATTGTTATATCTTCACTTTGATTTCAATAATCCATTTAATTGCCAATATTCTCTCAACTAAATTTAAAATCATCTTTTCGATATTATAAGCAATAATCAAATAACTATTATAAATAATATCTTAAATTGACTGTTTCAGTGTCTGGAACGACGAAAGAGGAAGAGACGGGGGGATCTTCGATGGAAACAGAAGAAACTACCGTAGTTCTCGGCGCGAGAACAAGGACAGGAAGCGATCCTGGAGGAGGTATAGATCTATTAGCAACCCTGCAGCTTCACAATACTACTCGACAGGGCGTTACGCAGGTGCCAGGTCTGGTTAGACTGAGGCCAGCCTATTATCTTCAGGGTGAGTCAACTTTTCAATCCGGTATTTTCAATTCGTCTCACATTTTCTTCCAAAATATTCCCAAAATCTTTAATCATCGTCTAGATAATTAATAAAAAAAAACAATGGACAATTGTGACTTTAATCCTTAAATGATTGATATTCTGCAAAAAAAAATCAACTAATGATTGAACATCATTTGTTTTTCCTCTACGGATTCTGCTTCAATTTCTCGTAATTTCTTAAAGTTGTCTTAAAAGAATGCAATTTTGAAGATTTAACTTAAAGTGTTAATATTTAATGAACATAATCTAGAAAGAGTAAGAAATGGATTAAGGTACGTTTGCAGTTAGGCTTGTCGCATTACTGCAGACGTGAGAGGAAGTAAAGCCTTTCGTTTGATTCACACTCCTTCGGAGCTGTAATATATATTACGCGATAAATCGTAGCTCGTACACGAAGCTGCCACTTCGATAATACTCTCTTAACCCGAATACTCCCTTAATTTGCATATCGCCGGGGCGTTCTTTATGCGAACGATTCTCCTCTCGCTCCTCGCGTAGCATACATTGCAATTATTACGTCTCGTAAAGACGATGATTGCGTTCTTTGAGTTATAACCCACAAAACTTTGCCGTGAAATTCATCCCAGGAATTAAGTTAAAAACGACGGTATAAAAGATGATAAAACACGAAGCAAATTATCTTGAAATAAGAAGAATTCTTATATCGAAGATATATGTACCTTTATTTCCGCGATTGATTTTATATTATAAAATTTTTGATACAATGATATAATATTTATAAAGTTTACGCACATATGTTGAATATATATTAAATATACATATGTATATTTATATTATTTAGATAGATTTCATATTTTCGTACTTTCTTAATTTAATGATATATAGTACTGTAACGGTTCGCATCAATTACGATTAATTTACAAGTCAATGAAGAATCTTGTTCCAAAATTAGTTCCTTGAAAAATGATGGGCGACAAGCAGGCTAAAATACGTTACCTCTTGATGGATGCATTTGCCTCTCATTACACGATGCTGGTTATGCAACGTGCGATTAATCGATATTGCGAAAGGTCAGTTTGATAGCACCGCCTACGCGTCGTCTCCGCTCGCAGACGCCAAGAGGGTATTCCCCTATGATGAGTATCGATTGTTTCCTCGAATTTCAGGAAGTTGCCAGAGTTTCATAGCACTTTCGACAGCCAATAAATCCCTTTCACGTAAAAATAGCACGCGGTTTGACGTATAGCGTAAAAAATAATTATAAAAATGGCTTGATCTTTTTATACTCTATTTTTGCACGTGACGAATGTATATATGCCTTCTGAAACTGATCGCGTACGAAGGAGTTAAATGATGTTCCTGTTAAATGGGCGACCCTTCACATCGACGAGCACGTCGCCTATTCAACCCCGTAACATGGTGTATCCAATTATACCGGGGCATCCCCGCGCCCTTCGGCGGCGGGATGGTGTCCAAGCCACGTGGGTGTGTGGGCGGCAGTGCAACGGCCGCGGAAAGCGGGCCTGGAAGCAGCAGGGTGGTTGGAAGTGCCGCGGGAGTAGGGTTTCCCCGAAAGAAATTTCAATTACACCGACCCCCTACCCCGAGTCTGCACCCTCACAGGGTTGCCTTTCGTGGAAGTTAGGCAAAGGCTCTTCGTGGTTCGTAACATCGGGAATGTAAGGGGGAATCCTTTTTTGTTCCTCATATCGTCTGCGAGTCCTTGACGCTCCTGCTCCTGCTCTCCTGCCGCCTGTTTCCGTTCGTGCCTCTTGCACGCACGTTTTCCCTCCCCCTCTATATTACAGGGATACCAGATATAATCGTAATATAATTTCTTTTCTGCGCCCACACCGCAAATGTTTGCTTTAATTCCCCCGAGTTCTTGCCATCTGATTCGCAAGATAACGAGCGATGAATGGCGAATATTTATATCGCAATTTGAGAACGATAATCTCTTCAGTTAATGAACGAGATGAGATTGATAGCGATAAAAGCATCCTTGTCGGGGTTAAAAGCAAAGTTATTTGGATCATCTTGTACTTTAAATGCGATCGTACTGATATAATAAGGCTCTTAATAATCAATAAATATTTACAAAATTGGATTCGAAATTGCAATATTAATTTAATTCCAACATCCACAATTAAGAATTGATCTATTTCGAATTATGTCAAATTTCTAAAGAAAATTTCTAATTTTATCGACTAAAAACAAATCGATAACGAAGAAGAAATATTCGCCCTATTCTCTGTAACATCTTTATCTTTCCCATTTAAGCCTCTCCCCCATTTCGATCATTCTGGATGGACAAACAGGGAAGAGAAATTTCTTTTTTCGGGATTAGATTTATCTCGTATGAACCGTTAGATCTTAACAAGAGCATTCGCCGCAGGACAAAGGACGAGAATGATATACAGCGACACGTGTCGGAGTTTTCTCTGAACTTGGAAAATAGGATCTACCGACCCTTCTTTGTGCTTGGATAAGGGGTAGCGCACGATCTGATGATTTCGGCAATTCGATTGAAGCAACCACAAAATTCTGACACGAACACTCATATCTTATTTATCATCAAACTCACAGAATTTTTCTATTAGCTATTCTTTGTGATATTCTGAATAAAGTGACATTTCATGCCAACAATAAATATTTCCTTTTGATGCTTATTTAATTCTCGCGGTAAAGTTAGAACGCTGAGAGACAAAAAGGGAAAGAAGAAAGAGAGAGTAGGAGAGAGATTTAATCGCCATATAAATATTTTACGATTCTATCATAAATTGATCAAATCGAGACACGCGAGTTTCGCGTTTAAACAATGTCTATTATTGATTGCTTGTAACTTTCATAGGTTGCTCCGACTTAAAAAAAAAAGAAATATTATTATATTATAATAATGATAATACAAAAATCTCACTGTGAATAAAATTAAAAATCAAACATTTCCTGTTAATTTATAATTTTTCTATGCAAAAGAGAAAATATAAGTCTCTTGTAACGTTATGATTACAACTTGAATAACAGAATATCAAAAGAGAAATAGAAAAGATCATTTTGCCCTTCGAATATATTAAATTTTATTAAAATTATTAGAAACGAAAAATTTTTGAAGGCAAATATTTCGAATGCTTGCCTTATTCCTATAGCGCGCTAATACGTAAAGGGTAAATAACCCTGGCTACCCCACAGGAAACGATCATTTTTCCGCTGGTCGAAACTGCAGCCAGTCTTTGCGTAACGAAAACAAAATTTCACGGTCAAATTATGGTTTCTGCCCGTGTCAGCTCGAGTGCAAGGGTTGGCTCGTGCGTGCCAATTCACGCGGAACGATTTTCTTCGAGACGAGCGAGCAGCGCTCGGTAGGGATGTTTTCTCACTGGTCGGCCTACCTTTCTCCTCCGCTCGCCCAAGCCGGTGGTATTACATTATAATTAAGCGTGCGCGTACGTAATTGCTCGACGACGTCGTAGCCGCGGATCGTCGGCCCCTCGGTCCGTCGTCGTAGGTGGCGAGACCCACGCGCAGAAAGGCACCGACGTTTTATTATCGGTCGGGTGTCCGGTTACTCCGGCGCTGCATCTGAAATTCGAGGCGCACTTTGCGCCGCGAGAAGCCAGCCAGCGGCAGTAGGCTGCATTTTGCACGCAGCAGTCGTGTAATGAGGTGTCCCTTATTTGGACAGCTACATTTCGTGAAGGAAACCAATCACACGTACACACACATTGCGCTGTGTTAAAATTGAGAAGTGAGCCATTGAATTTTTATCTAAAAAGTACAGAGAAATGCGAAAAAAAATTATTTTATAAATTGTAATTTAAATCTTGATTTATTTGGTAAATCGACAGCAAGATTTAAAGTTTAAAATTGTCAGGCTTAAGAAATGAGCCATTGAATTTTTATCTAAAAAGTAAAAAAAATTTCGAGAAAAAAATTATTTTAAAAATTATAATTAAATCTTGATTTATTCAGTAAATCGATAGTAAGATTTGAAGTTTAAAATTGTTAAGCTTAATCTTGCACGCGGGGGTGCAATTAAAGAAAAAATGTGTAATTTAAAGAAAAAAAGAGATAAAGGTAGAAAATTTAAAAATCCAATTTCGGAAGATAAACCATTTCCTCTGTTACACTTATCCTCTGATTATATGTGCACAGCTGCGGGATTTCTCGTTTTGTACGTGACACGTTACACGAATCGGTTAATGACGATGATATTGAAGCCGCGATAGGCAGACAGTAGGATTGTCGATTGCAGTGGCTTAGTTGCGGTGTAATTTGCCAAATGGCCGTATTAATCTGTCTAATGGATAGCTACTCGGATAAGCAGCAACCATTCGAACGCGACGTGTTAATTGAATATGCAATACAAAGTATGGCTATGATCGATTTGCACATCGCGAGCTTTGGTAATAATGGAACGGCAAAATGATTTCCTGTGAAATAGAACGTGAAATAGGACTTGAAAGTATTAGAATGAATTGAACACAATGTCCTAAGCAATGTCCGTTAGACTAGCAAGCTATTTTCACGTTAAACATAAATGTCATTTTTTTTAAACTTTTAGATATTTATCGTGTAAATTGCATTCTGAGGTGTTCTAAAACGCGTTATTTATTTATGGACAAATGGAACGTTTTATGACTTTTTACAATATTCTCGTTCATAATTAAAATACGTTGATCTTAATCTTTTATCTATAATCAAAGTAATCATACATTTCGAGAATTATAACTTTCACGTTATTAAATTCGTGTGAATTGCACAAATTTATATGAAATGATATTAAAAAACCGCTAACTTTTCAAAAGGCAAATATTTACAGAATATCTCGCTTATTGACGGCCTGTGATTCCACTGTTGAATCGTTTATCTTACTGAACGTGTTTTCGTGAACAGGAAGTTAGATCCGGAAGTTGCAAACACACAATAGTATTTTCGCGTCAATACGATTACGTAACGGTTGCGCAGAGAATCTGCGACCAACTACCCTCCAAAAATTCGGGGTGGCCTACATCGCTGTGCTCTAATCTCCATCGCCGAGTCGATAGTCCAGTTCTCGCATTACTGCAGTCGACAAACGATTCATATGTTTCCATTTTAACGCATGACGTTTTACGTAGCATTGAAAAGTGTTGTTATTTCACAACTTCGTGGATTCTCTTGCTATTTCTTTGTTTTTCTTTGTTTATTGACGCTAAAGGAAATATGACGCGACAAGATTGAAAGTTTTCTAAAAGCTTCTCTTTCTCTTTTCTGTAAAAAAATTTATATATCAAATAAATGAAATATCTAACATAATATTCATATTTTCAAACAAAGCAAAATGAATAATCAATTAAATATATTATTGTTATTCATTGAACACAACAGTTTGATAAACATTTCACAAAAAACATATTAAGAGAAAAAAAGATATTAGTAATTGGACAGTATATTTCATATATACCTCTGTTAAAAGAGATACGTACTTATTGTTAGAACGGTATTATATAATTAATTCTTAGCATTGACCGCTCGGTATCCTACATGAATAACACACACTTTCTGCCAATAAATTCCGCACAACGTGAACAATAGTTACAAATATATGCAATTTAAGCAGCACAAGAATCCATATATAATCGCTCAGTTCATCATTGTATTATTAAATTTCAATCGCCCCCTCTCATTGCGCGACTAAAAAGCATATCCTTCGCCTTAATATTACCAGTAAATAATGATCGCTCGCCGTGCTCTAAATTCCAGGCAAACCGCTTTCCGGAAGGCGGTTCAACCTTACCTGGAAGCGGCCAGGTTAAAAATTCAAATCAGCCCCGCATCGATTTCGAGCACGGCATGCGACAGGCCTTCCTCTACGGATACTGCTAGATTGCATTCAACATCCCAAAATTCTCGTGTACATGTCTAATGACGTAAAAGCTATACACAATGCTTTTATGCTTTCGCTTCAATAAATCTGATTGGGGTCGCAGAATAAAACTTGAAAGTGTCTAAAAGAATTGAGTATATTAGAGAATTCCTGAGGGAAAAGCGCCGTATAAAATATAGAGTTAAGAACTGCGGAATGCAGTCAGCCGCGCATTCCGTCTTGCCGCACCGATCATAGTGTTTTACTACTTCCAGGCGAGGAGAGGGAGCTCCGACTGAACGAGGAGAACTTCGAACGGGCGGCCGCGCTACTCCGGCGGGTTCCGGAATTCACTATAGCCGCCGCGCTGCGCCAGGAGGAGGACAATTCCGGGACGATCGTCGCCTTTGCACACGGGAACAATAGGTACGAAATACCGAAAAGTTCCTTCTCACCCACCCCGCAACGCTCTTCGGGCACGCCGTTCGGGAATTTCGAGCTCCGATGGCTGGAACAAACGACGCGAGCTTGTGACCTATTTCAAACGTCGAGAATGATATAAGCCGCGTGAAGGAGAAAGATCTTTCGGGCATATTATTTTGTAAAATATATCACACACACAGAGACACACAGAGAGAACACATACATATACTTGTGCGTAAAATATGAAATGATGAAATACTTCTACGGACTACTAGAATTCACAAGCGAAACGGTTGACATATCCTTCTCAAATAACCGTGGAATACCGTCTGCATTTTACGATTTGATGACATCATACCCTAATGCATGCAGCACAATAATTCCGCTGTCGTTTAATATTTGAAATAATAACGTCTACATTACTCGGTACATATAACTAGGACAAAGAATTATTATCCACTCGACAATAAAAAGCCTTTACTGTTGAATAATATTGTCGTAGCGAGATTGCCAGGCAACAATTGTACGTACGCTACATATGCATTTTGTTTCCCGTCTCGTGGCTTTTGTTAAAAATTGCTTCTCAGTTTTATTTCTCAGCTGTATAGCTTTGTCCGCATCGACTATAAAAGAAGTTAGTGTGTCAATTGTCGAGGGAGAGTGAAGGAGCACTCAGCTCAATACTGCATCCTTCGTCGGTACTTCGATAATGCGGTCTACCTGTTTTCGCCTAGCTGACACAAATTGGATAGACTTGCGCTCGTACACATTGCACGGCATACATTAACGTGCCGCAACTGTGATTAATATAGATGAAAACTCAATAAGCTTCTTAAAGGCCAATAAATTTCCCAGAATCTAATTACGCGTCGCCTGTAACTACAGCTCATTAGCGGCGATAGCGTAATTCAATTTTCCTGCGATAGACACGTGAATTTAGATTATAAATTAAATCGCTCTTAACTGCAGAGTTTCACAGTAATAAAATTATTATTGTGATTATTAGTAATAAAGGAGTAAAACCGGAAAGTTTACAATATCAAATGCTATTAAAGCCATAGTAATTATAATACTTAACTCAGTTTGAAATATTACATATAACATATTGCACATTATGACAGTTTTAGATTAAATCCTAGATATATATATATACATATAGGTCTGTAATTTAATCGTCCATAAATAGAATGTAATGTGCGCCAGGTACTTGGAGCTGCAGAGCAGCGGACGCAAGGACGAGCTTCGACTTCATTACGTATCACGCCGCGACGGAACCGTACACGTCGAGGCGTTTCCTTACCGACTAGCTGATGGCGCCTGGCACAAGGTCGCCCTGAGCATAAGCGGCTCGCAGGTCGAGCTGCTGGTCGACTGTCATCCCTTGTATAGGCGGCTGCTGAGGCCTGGTCCACCCGACACCAATTTCACCCAGCCGCAGCTCCAACTCTGGGTAGGACAGAGGAACGTCAGGCACTTTCTCTTCAAGGTGAAGCCGCACATTCTACTACTCATACTTCTCATATTCTCGTATTCTTTTCTATCTGATTGCCACGACTGACGTCGATACCGATCGTTCTAATCAATCATAAAATTTAAATACTCGAATAAAATTAAGATGAATGTCTGACATTTCTGCTAATTTAATTTTTATCAGCTAGAACACAATCAGATTTATGTTTAACTTTAATTGAAATATATTTCTCGAATTATTATACACGACGATTTCGCATCCCGAACTAAGCCGTATGATTCTCGCGCCGCAGGGTGCTTTGCAGGACGTCAAGTTAATAGCAGGACCTCACGGTTATCTTTCCCAGTGTCCTCAGCTCGACTCATCCTGCCCAACATGCGGTCAATTTTCGATATTACAGAATACCGTAGAACAACTAATGCACAATCTCAATGAGTTGACTCATAGGGTGAGTAATTTGTACGGTTACACAGACTCTTGTAGATCTGAGCGATGAAGTTCGAGATTCAATTCAATGTTATGAATTGTTACACGAATTATGTAAGCCATAAAGACGTGTATTGCCATAATTTATTATAATATAGTTATGTAAATACAAAATGTTGTTTTTTAACATAATCGTCAATTTTCTAAGAATTACTCTAGTAAACACATTGTTATTTTTTTTGTCAATAAAATATAAATAAAATATAAATAAATTTTTTTGTTCATGAACATCCTTCCTTTCAGCTAGCCGCTGCAGAGGGCAGAATAAGCAAAGTGGAGGAGTGCGAGTGCCAAAAGTTTTGTAGGGTGAATGGTACCGTCTACGACGACGGCGCGATTTGGACGAAGGGTTGTCTAAAGTGTGCCTGCATTCACGGTGAGATCGAGTGCAAACCAATTATCTGCCCACCGGTCACCTGTAAGCATCCCGAAATTAGTGAAAAAGAGTGCTGCCCGATTTGTAAAAGTAAGTGGAGTCACTTTTGTCTCCCTCGCATCCTTATCTCCCATCCTCTTTCCTTAACTCCCCATAATTCGTTGTAATTTTTAATTAAAAAAGATATTTATTAAATCATTGATTTCTAAATAATTAAAATTTTAAAGCAAGAATCTGATAACATCTATAAGATTCTTGTCGCCTTTTACTCAGCGTATGATGTATCGCAAACTCTCATATTCTATTCTTGCTTTTGGAACATCGCACAAATTCTTGACGTCTCGGAGAGAACAGCTCTTTCGATTACTCTAATACAATATGTCGCTTTTATGCAAATGTACTCTTTTACTTTCACGCACGCAACTGACTTAGCTGATTAGCTAATGCTAGCGTGTTTCGTGTTCAGTCGTTTTGTTTCCGTCTCGTGTCTCACGTTACTTATCTCGCCAATTCATCTTCGTCTCCACAGAACAATGTTACATCCAAGGCCAGCTTTACGATCACGGCGAGACGGCCTGGCCGAAGCAGTGCCAGCAGTGCGACTGCAACGACGGTAGCTTTAAATGCGTGGATATCGACGCTAACATCACATGCCCACCACTGTCGTGCCCAGTCAACGAGCAATTCAGCGTGGCGGACGAATGCTGCAAGTTCTGCCCAGGTACGTTTCCATTTGAAAATCTATACGCGGGTATGAATAATATATGTAAAATTCACGATATTTTCCAAAACAAAATATCAGACAAGATATCTGATATCTTATATATCTGCGTTATCGGATATTATAAAGCTCGACTTTAAAAAGCCAGTTGATAGTTTCGTCAGCGTCTCTTTTCCTCTGAGACACAAATTCCTATTGTAATGTATAACGCAATATTATAAAATCTTTCGTCTCCAGACATTAAAATTCAGCAAACCTTGAATAACGTATGTTATAATATCGGGTTTCAAAAAATAACAAGCATGAAAAAGCGACAGAGCAAGACAATAAAAGTTGTGATTCGCATATAACTCGCGTATCATTAACTCTAACCCTCTCATGCGTGGAATTTCTTTTCTGGCGACTTCAAGTCTTCCTCCTTTCTGCTAACCTTGAATAAATACGTTAAATTTATATAAACTTTCAGTTATATTAAGAGAAATAAATGGCTATTACGTATAGACACAACATTTAAAAAAAAAAAGACATAATAATTACGATATTCAATTATTATGGCAATTAAAAGTCATAAAATTACTTAAACATATACACATTATATTTTAATATTTATATCAATTCAAGAATGAAATAATTTTAATCCATGAGATTATTTTACTCTCTATTATTAAGTAATTATACAATATCTATTACGCATGGGAGGGTTACCGATGTCAAATTGAACAGTCTTCTGTCAAAAAGCACTAAATCGCTAATTAAATCGTCTAACCTCATCCTCTGTATTTGCCTGACTAACTCAATTTAACCAGGGGTGGACTACTGCGCAAAGGGCCACAAGTGTCATACGAACGCAAATTGCACGAATCTTAATACGACCTACGCCTGCGCGTGCAAAAAAGGTTTCCAGGGGAATGGTTTCATTTGTCACGGTATCTAACGCTTACTTAACTTATTTGTGCAATTAATCGTACGTGAAGTATATCCGCCAGACTTATTGGACTTCTCGCGAAGCATGTGAACTTAACGTCAAATCGCTAAAATCATTGCATGATTCAATTTTTATCTCATTTTAATTGGGAACGATTCAAAAATTCTATTTTGCTTATTTTTAGTAATATATATTTTTAATTTATCTGTTTTTGGTTTATATACATACTGGGTGTTTCCTAACATGTGGGACCCACTTCACTGATGGACAGAACACACAAAGCAATGATAAAAGTTCTAAACATATGTTCTATTTGGCTTTATTTCTAAGTTATAATTATATTTGTATTATGGTAATATGGACCTGCTTTACCTCTATAAGAAGTGTTTTAGAATGATAATTGAAAGAAAATTATTATTTTCGGTGACGATTGCATGCTTGCATTCAGGTCAAAGATGATTATTTTGAGCACTTCTTATAAAGATAAATAATTTCCATAATACTGGAATACAAATGACTATAACTCGAAAACAAAGCCACATGTTTATATAAACTTTTATCATTGTCTCCTGTCTACCAGTGAAGTCGGTTCCATATGTTAGGAAACACCCTGTACATACAGTTAAGTTAATAAATAAATATAAAAAATGTGTTTTAGTGAATTTAAAATCGTTATCTTCTTCGTCACTACTCAATTTTTAAAATAACTTATTTATATTTCACAAAGCTTGATATATACTGAATTTAATATTCTCTAGCATCATTCATTTCTCTATGAATTTGCAGGCTGCAATTGACAATCACTTAATTTTATTTTTAATAGAATTTCCGAAGATAAGATTAAATATAATTATATAATTTGTATTAAATAAACTGTGTAAAATTATAATTCCCGTATAAGAAAAGAATTTGCTACAATATTAAATCAGAATTTGTTTCCTACTTTCTCTTCCCTTAACATCTTATTTTATTTAGAAATTTCATTTTGCTTATACGAATCTTTTTTTTTAAACGTGATAAGTTAATACGCGCATTCGTACTTCGACTTCGTTGATTATGTGATCAATGACGCTTTCTCTTCGTCTCGTCATTCAGACGTGGACGAATGCAAGCAGCAAGGTGATCCGGGCGGTCACCACTGTAACGCGAACACGAGGTGCGTCAACACGTTCGGCAATTACACGTGCGAGTGTCTGGAAGGTTACTATAGAGTGGACTCGTTGAACTGTGCCGAGCTGGACGAGTGCGCGACTGGGCAGCACAAGTGTGACAAGCACGCCACATGTGTGAACACTAACGGTAGCTACTACTGCAACTGCACGGAGGGCTATACCGGCGACGGCTTCACGTGCAAACGTACAGTATATCGCCTTTATATATCGATATAGCGTATTTTAATCGGTAATTTCTCAGAATTCGATACGATGAATCACGATATCGTTTCTATATATTTTTTTTACTTTGTTTTAATAATTCTAAATAAAGAAACAAATTGTGTAATAAAAAGTAAAGATAATTTTCGTTATTTCAATTTATATTAATTTTCATTAATTTACTCTAACATAATTAGATGTGTACTATTTTAAAAATGAATTTTTACACAGTTATGAGCAATTTATGTGAAACGATTATTGAGTAAACATGCCACTTTATTAAAGGCTCTCATAACATTGAAAATAAGAAAGAATTCAAGCAGGTTTTCTTTATTGAAACGTTCGCTCTCTAAGCGAGTGTGTGTATACAAACAATCGCAATGGTATTTTCATCGCATCGATAAGTAAAGAGGTGAAAGACGATTTACTAAAGTGGAGAATGTTTATTTTTCTCCAACATATCCCGTTCCGCAAAGACTGTAAAAAGCGAAAAAGTAAAAAGATATTCTCATGGCCCTTTAAGGCTGATTAATCGATTAATTTTATTCTGAGAGGAAATTAATTACATTAAGAAATGATTTCTATTTAATTTGACTTCAAATTAATGATAATATGACTGCAAATCTCATTAAAAATCAAATCTTAATTTAAGTTTAATTAAAAATATGAGATACAATCGCAGCAATTTCATTTTTTTTAAGCAACAAGTTTGAATAAATAATATAAGTCTGAATAAATAATATAATAAAGTAAAATTATATCTTTTTTTTATAGCCGTATGTAATCAGACTTGCCAGAATGGTGGCGTATGCGTGGCACCTGGAAGGTGCTCCTGTCGACGCGGTTACATCGGCAACAGTTGCGAACTCGACCTGGACGAATGCGCCAGCGATTTACATCGATGTCATCATTCGTCCACGTGTTTCAATATGCCCGGCTGGTACTACTGCCGATGCAAGCCTGGTTACAGGAACGCCCTGCATCACAGCACTCAGGGCACGCACTGCGTCGACATAGACGAGTGTGACGATCTGACGATCGAAAGGCGGCACACGTGTCATCCTACCGCGAAATGCGTCAATAAGGAGGGCGGCTACGAGTGCGTGTGCCCGCCGGCGAAGGATCTGGAAACGTCCAGAGAAGAATGCAAACTCAGTGAGTTCACTCGCCCGCGTCTAATCAAGATGCATTCATTTCTTAGAGTAAAAATCGCTCGAAATTCTACGGAGAATACAAAAAAAAAATTGTTACAATTGCTATGCCGTAATTCTAGATTGCTGGTACGAAAATCGTGAAGTCAACAACGGCGCAACGGTGGCGCCGTCCGGAAATCCTTGCGAGAGATGCACATGCCAAGACGGTGTGATCACTTGCAAGAGTCCCATATGTGACTGCAGCGTATCGGGAAGCCACATGGACAAGTGTTGTCCTCAATGTAATCCCGCTGCGTCCTGCAGGCATCAGGAGCTCCATCATCTAGTCTTCAGAAGCGGAGAACGTTGGATATACCAGTGTCAGACTTGCGAGTGCCTGGTAATAAATCCGCCTGACAATATATATGTATATTTGTCCGCAAATACGACAGACTTGCGAATAGAATAAACGAATCAGAGGAATATTTTAAGCAACTGGAGATCCTTCAGATCTCATATCGCGGTTTCACTCTGCAAATGTTGTGATTCCTCAAAAACAAGAAAAAAAATGATATCTGATTTGGAATTTTCTGCGAATTATCGCACGGTTTATTGCAGAGAGGCGAAGTAGACTGTTGGAATATGGAGTGTCCGCCGGTGACCTGCTCGAATCCCGTGACCGAGCAGAGCGATTGTTGCCCGCGCTGCAAGGACGATCCCTGCGCTCGTGAGGTGCCGGTGAACGGCACCTCGTTCACGGTTCCTAGTCGTCCCCAGCCGTGCAGCTACGCCGGCGTCGTCCACGACAGCGGCAGCTCCTGGCAGGACCCCCACGACAAGTGCACCACGTGCGAGTGCAAGGTAAGAAGAAGGATCGAACGTGTCATCCGTCACGTCGCGGGACCCGCGAACGCCGGTCTTTTACCCGGTCCCGTGTGAGATCCGAAGGATACGGGTAGGATAAAGGGGGGAATTCGCCGGAGAAGGGCGACGTCATGGGCACGGAAGAAGTGAGGATGGTCGCCCCCGCAGAAATCTGCTGAATCCTTTACCCGTAAATTTTTAATAGCGTTCCATTTAATTTCGATAATGTAAAATATGTTGTACGTGACACGACGACAATTGGTTATACGTTTCTTTTACGCGTCTGCTTCATATAATAAAATAACGTATTTTTTCATGCCTTCCGAAAGTAATTGCGATAGTACTGGCAGAGAGATTATCCCAATCATGAACAAAGAATTTGGTGATGTATATTATCGATTTTTAGTTATTAACAACGCGACAATGCATACATAACGGAAACATTGAAACGCAGACCATCCCAACGAGATCTTGGTACCCATCGCGCTTACTTCTCTCGCGAATTCAAGAGCTCAAGGTCAGTAAACGAAAGGAAATATTGCCTCAATTTAGCCGTGGATCTGTCATGTGCCTATTCAATTACGCTCGCTGTACTACGCGGACGTAAGATGCAAGAAAATCGCTGTGCAGGCGTCCATCGTAGAGTGTGTACATACATATGTATACATGGCGGAGCATCAATGCAAATCGTATCAGTTTCATTTCCATTGGTTTCATATTAAATTTCTTCCAACGATAAATTAGCGTTCATTCTACCCTCATCAACGTTGCCATTTTCGTACAGAATGATTATTTTTACTCTAAGGCATTTAAATAAAATTACTAGTCGAATTATGTGTTAATTTTACGTGTTAATTTTTCTTAGGACAAAAAAAATTTCTAGCAAAAACATACTCAAATGACGAAAGATCAATTTTATTTCAATTACTATCGAGTCATAAATACTCGCACATTTTTATAATCCATTAAAGTCTCGTCCTTCTTGGCATATTCGATCAAATTATCCGCCATACAAACATGAAATCATACACACAAGCATCCATTTGTCATTTTACTTTTATTCGCTCTCTTTACTCTCTATCTGTCTGTTTTACTTGTCGTCAGTAGGTAATCCTCGAATAGTACAAGGTACATACTGACTGTCTTTTTTTTTCATGCATTGTATGCCATTTGTTTTTGCCATGTGTATTAACGCGAATCGATTTTGCAAAGCTGAACGCTGAAAATTTATTAACCGTATGCCGAGAAAAGAAGGATAAACGTTTATAACGTATGTTGAAATCTAACTTCTCACATTTGCATGAATTAACTAATCAAATTAAACTGGAATTATTCGCAAACGCTTCAGTTTTGTATATATTTCGCAAAATTTGTACATATGTATACGTATATAATATAAAAAACATCATGCCATATTAATATTGTTTATAACTAGTATTATCTTCTCTCTCGGCGTGCACTAATGCGTCGCGTGCTAGCCTTGTCATTATACGATCTCAACACTGTACTCATCACTGTAAATTATTCATATTTCATATTTTTATACAATGTTAGATACATCCAAGGGCGTCCCCAAGCTAGCCTAAAATAAATGTTATTTGTTTTTCGTTGTCTGCCTTGCACGTGGCAACGTTCGTCGCTCGTTTCTCCACGTGAGAAGAGAAATAGATATCTTAGATGACTTAGATTATTAAATCAATATATCTTAGATCTTATAGATCATTAATTAAGTATTTTTTAAATCCGTTTATAATTCTATCATGATTTATTATTCTTCAAGACCCAAGTCTATAAATATTGAAAATTTATTTAATCTATTTTTTTTCTTTTTCATAAAAAGCTAAAGTCATATCAGTACCTCATCAGCAAAATATAAGAAAAATATTGCAATTCATTGGGCGTCGAAGATGTAATTAGATATGCAGAAGAGCATGATTTGCAAAATAATTTCTTACATATTTTTCAATAAAAAGATATTATTCTTCATGTGTAGAAACTGTAGATATGGAATGCGAATACTGCCACGGCCGTGAGAATCCCGGTTCGTATGTACAGTCGAATCTCAAAAGAAAACTCTGAATTTCGAGTGAGCTCGTTGTTTCGCTTTTTCGTTGAGTGCTTCGCTCTCATCGTCATCCTATGGTCATCCCGAATATATGAGACGAAATATTTGTATCTCTGAGAAATTTTCGCGTTCAACTTAATCTTTAGTTATAGAAACTATAAATTAATAATAAGATATGATTTGTCATGGATAATTTTTTTAAACAATTATTTAGTAATTTATATTGTTTATAAAACTTAAGAAATTCTAAGCTTACACACACACACATACATATTATACATATACTGTTCCCATTTTTCTCTATAAAATTTTTTTTTTTAATTTCATAATTAGGGTGACGATGAAATACTATCTATATATGGTATTTTACATCATTTTATCTTTCAGACCTTGACCTGAAAAGTATTTGGAATCGCGAACTTTTCTTAATATAAATGGAGTACAAACCATATATTTATCAAAATATTGTAACTATTAAATATCTTCTATAAAATTGATTAAGATTAGTTTTGCCATTTCTGCGGCGTAATTTTCCAGAAGTTTTCAACAATAATTAATTCTTTCATCGCCGATATATTACTAAATTCACACCCTCAATCTGTGGCTGAAAGATAACGTGGTAAATCCGTAACACCACATATACGTCAAATACTGAGATTGAGCCGAGATCTCACGATTGCGCGTGCTTCGGGTCGGCCCTGCATGGATCATTTTATTAGTGTTTACCGCCCGGCGACGATTAATAGAAAACGGACCTGACCTTATAGTGATCGAGCGTGCGCCACGACCTTGACCTCGCCGATCCGATCCGCGATCGCCTGATCGCCGGTCGATGACAGTCTAGCAAGTCGTGCCCAATCAAGAGCGGCGACACGGTTTCATCAGTGGGGTGACATTGGCAACGATTGGCCGGGGACCACCAGAATGGAATTCAACTGATTCCGCTGGCGCCAATCATATCGATCTTATTATTATCTTCCAAGCCGCGACGATCGCGAACGTGGATCGACGTGGCGCAGAGAAAGGTCCTGGTCGCGTATAGGCGAAATAGCGAGGGAGGGATATAGGAGGGGAAGTTGCGCCAGGGAAACATTGTCTGCCTGTGACTATGCTGTTGTAAATTAACCCCGCCACCTTGCCCGTGATGACTAACCTCATATAGCCTAACAATGGGTATCCTTGCAGGTGCCGTACTGCGCCCAATTGGTGAGCAATAGCGCGTGTTGTGTGCATCGGTAATCACGTCACTTCTATCTCACCTATAATCTCTACTACCTGCCTCTTCTCTTCTGTCTTTATTGTGTGCTGATTAATGTATTACGACTAACGAAGTACTCGAGTGCTTTCTTAACTCCCTTTCTCCCATATGCTTACACAGTTTTGTCCTGTTTTACCTGATCTCTCTCTCTCTCTTTCTCTCTCTCCCTCCCCTGCTGCTTTTCTTTTTTTTTAAAGTTTTCATACTTCGCACCTTCGCTCGATACGTAGTAATTCTTCTAATCCTTTCCTTCTCTTTGATAAAGTTCCTACTTATTAGGATCTGTTAATACTACGTTAATCGCCGCACGTTGATCACCAAAAGCTTTATCACTATTCGACTATGGATATATACATGTATTGTAAGCACGGAGCATGTGCATCTAATCGTATTTAAAGAAGAGTGTTCTCGACGTGACGTTGACGATTTTCTAGGTTTAAGAGCGGAGCAGGTTTCAAATTAGGGTTCAACAAAATTCCGTGATATTCATCCACTATGTACATATGTATCCACTATAAATTATTCAATATTAAAGTACTTGTTGCTATTAGAGTTATAATGCTATTCGGATTTATCTCGGGGTAATCTAACTCTTATCATCTCAATTATATATAGACGATCTCATTAACGGTATCCATTCATTTGCATTTGCGTATATACTCTCTTGTTAACTCCTTATTTCAGATATTTGCGCTGCGAAAAATTTGCATCTGCACTCGGCACGCGGCGATGAAATAATTTATGAATGCCTCTTATCGTTTAGGATCGCGCACGATAAATTGGTCGACGGATCGAACGAGAATACGATATTATCTTGTCTCATCCGTGAGAAGGTCGATTGCACGTTTCCGAAATTTGCATGCGTTGACGCACCTCTCATGCATTCTACTTCCTATTTCCCCGACACGTTGCGCACTACTCCCTCTCACTTTTCTCTCTTTCACCCTTTTTTTTTTACTTACGCACATTCCGAGACGCACGGTCGTTCATGCAAAAAGATAAAAGAGAAGGCGATTTCTTTCGGTCGGCAGATCTTTCTCGTGTCGATCGAGGAGCATGGCGCACGGGGTGGCAAACACGTGTAACATATATACACACGCGCGCGCACGCACACACATACACATGTGCACACAACACATACACGGACTGCGTCTTGGATCCGCGATTATGTTCGTTTTACGTTTCTCTCTCTTCTTTTTGTTTTTTTTTGTTTTTTTGAAAGAGTTCGTTGTCGCACCTGAGCCTCCACTGCACCCTCCTCTGATCTGCATTCGAGATTCGGTAGAAGCACTAAGAGGTCTCTTTCTTTCTCTGTATCGATTTACCAAGCGTCGATTCTGGCAAGATCAAAATGACTCGCACAAATCTGTAAAATGCGAGCAATAAAATACCGATGATGGCGTAGAATCAAATCGTAATGCGTAAAGGAATTAATCTTAGACTTCTGATTAAATTCCGTCATCGGAATATTTAGAGTCGTCAAGTATTATTTTATATTAATAAGAATTGTGAGCACGCAAAAGTATTATACACACACACATCATAAAAGTGTCCTGCCAGAATCGTAGCGAAAAGTATCGTAGTGGAAACTTAGAAATTTGTCGCCGGGTATCAAAGACATACTATGGAAATTCATTGTTTTGCCCCCCTTTCGAATGTCAGCATGAATGTCCTTACAGTTATTGTAATAATTGTGATCATGACCACTTACAAGTCGTACTTCTTGACTGAGAGAAAAGGGCGCCGCTGATGCGGATGCGAGGAAAACATCGCAAGGGAAGTTTCAAGGGAAGTAAAGCGGGGATCGAATTTCTTGCACGTTTATTATCTCGCCACGGCGGAACTGATGCGGTATTGTTCTACGAAACAATGAATTACATACTATGGACACAAATACCTGCCTCATCACTGCAGGTTGGAAAGTCTTGGCATGCCGAGCAATCGATTGATAATTAACCCATTTGTTAACCGTGCTACATAGGAAAATATAAAGTATTCCGTTATTCTCTTTTTCTTAATTCATAATTTGTCAAAACAAAAAAAAATTCTTTAATACATAATAAGAACGTAAAGTGTTAAATTACGACATTTTGGAAAAAAAATAAAATCCGATACAATATTATTCTAATATTGTTACAAAAGTTACAAGAAATGGGTTAATTATAACCTTTTATGGTTCAAATGTTTTCTCTCTTTCCGAATATTGAAATAGCCAAAACTTTTTTTTAATTAAAAAATAATTTAAATTAGTATAAGACTCAATGATATTTATATTACCGTGCAAAAAACAATTTTGTATAATAGTCAAGAAATATCCATTTTTTATTCAAAACACACGATCGGCTCATGATTGCAAAGCAATCTCATATTCATGCCATTTCATATATTTGCATTTTTCACGTTCAATGTATCACTCTTCTAATGTACCACGGTACCGCGTTCCCTCATAAATCATGCCAGCCAAGACTTTCCAATCCGGAGTTGACGACAATTACGAACGAAAAGCGGCCAATTCCCTCCGCCGTGGCTAACCCAGTCTCCCACGAACCTCTTCGTAGGACGGGCAGCTTTGCTGCAGCTACGATTACGGCTGTGCTGGCGATCTGGGCGACGACAAACAGCAACGTTATCCAGTCGCTGTTCCTGGGCCTCTCGTACGCCATCCATCGGACTATGCGATCCAGTCGCTGGTCAACGGTGCACCGGAAGCAGCTCTATCAGCAGCGGTCACCGGCACGCTCGGCACCACACGCACCATCACCACCTCCGTCGCGAGCACCACTTCCCTCGTCTCGTCGCCCTCGCACTACTCGTCATCCTCCGGCATCAGCAACAACAACCCCCACGATCTCAGACAAGGTCACGCAACGGGCTCGCTCATCGAGACCATGTTTCGAGTCCAGGAAAATATGGCCTATGACGCCAGTCGATCGCAACAGCAGCAACACCAGCAGGAAGCGTCGTCGATCACGAGACACCAACAGTTCAACGCAGACTCGACGACGTCGTCGACGGCATCAGAACGGTCCGCGGCGCCGTCGGCGACGACGGCGAGAACGCCGTCCGCGGCATTCATTGGCAGCAGATTGGAGCCGTTGTGGCACGGCCAACCGTCGAACACCGTCAATCACCGCGTCGGCGCCTTTTCCTCTTCCTCGTCGTCGTCGACTCTCGCAGAGATCCGGGCAACCTCAACGATCGAGGAGTCCGATCTATCATCAGCGAGCGTCCCCGCGCAAATCCGCCAGCTGGTCAGCCGCCGTCGCAGGGACAGCAGGAAGTCCATTGTTCTCGATAGCGCCACTTGAGGGCCGTGGATCTAGAGGAAGATAGAAAAGAACGAAACCGACACATTTGGCAAGGCATTCCAGAGGGGAAACCTGGGGGATCTCCCATAGTCGTCCGACGCGCGTCTATTATATTGTCGGCAGAAAAAGGGGGAAACGCGAGATCGACGGTTCGCGAAGAGGAGGAACGGGATCATTGGCGGTGTACAACCGATGCTCACGGAGGATCGGTGTTGCCGCATTGCCACGAGGAAGATTCGTTCTTTCTGGAGCCTGTTTCAGGAATCTATGTCTGGCAATTCCGAAGAATGACGGGCCAAACGCCCCGTCAACGGAGCTAAATCGACGATCGCGTCGCTGACCTTGGCCCTAGTCCCCGCTAGGTTCCAGGTTCTAACGTTAAGATCGAGATCGCCGTCAAGTTCGTGTTGTTTGCGGGTGAGATCACGTAGTCGTTATTGACATCCGGATCTAGAACAGCCGCGGGCCGGGCTTACGGCTGAGAGCGCGTACGCGTCCAGGACGTTCGCTTTTCCGCTTGAATCGCTCGCTCGAGCTGCGGTGACCTCCTTCGCCTTTGGTCACCGTCACCAGACGAGCGTCACGAGACGCTGATCGTTCATCGAGAGATAATCGGTGCGGGAATGACTTTAAAAATCAACATCAAGAATTTGTTGCGATAATCAGCTTGTGCGAAATATTGAATATAATAAATATAACAGCGTACCGGGCCAAAAAAAAACAAAAAAAGATGCAGATTAATCTAAATTGATTCCGTTTGTAAATCTCCGGTGAAAGCGATAGGTATTGTCCGGATATTGAATTCTTACAAAACTTGTTTACGCTACACATCTTAGAGTACATTACAAGTAACAATATAACAAAGGGACTTTGTATTGTTGATACAAATAAATTAGAATTAATAAGGTAAAGTATCTAAATAAGAGTGAATAAGAGTGCACACATCAGAGAGTTGAAGGCTATTTTTTTGCGATAAAGTGTGTCACGCAATATGCAATTTAAAACCAAACAAAATTTAAATGATTTGTTTTCCTTATACGTGACTGTTGCTCCGCAAGTGAAACAATTGCAAAACTGTTACAGGGAAAACTATTACCGAACCAACCGTATTGATACTGCTTATTAATTTGCAAATAAGAAGTATCGCATAATTTGCAATTCACATTTTCACGATTAGGTCACCACCAAACAATGTATCAACGTACTTTCACGTAATCATGAAAATTGCAACAAGGCGCGTAAGCGCAATGAATAACGTAACGGTATGAGTATCGAGTAGGTATCGTAAATAATTGCGTGTAGCCAGAAAATTTCTGCAGAAATGTCTTGAATCCACACGAATTGATTATTATATATTCGTAGCAACTATTTTGACGATGTTGATTTTTGGCACCGATTGTCGATCGAAGCTGTGTGGTGCGTCCTCCGTGAATTGAGCATCATTGAGCGAACCGAGGGCGCAGATTCACATTTGCAGAGAAAGCTCCTTTCGCGTATTTGATTGAACAAGTAGCGCACAATATTTGGGCCTTATAAAGTAAATTGTTGATGTTCCGCTAAACCACGTAAACACTTGTATGTATGTATGTATGTAAACGACGGCAAAGCAGGGGCGATATATATGTTTGTCGTAAGGAATTGATCCCCGACGGAGGGGAGGAGACACATACAATGATGTATATTATATATATACATATATATATATATATATATATATATATTACATGAATATATATAATATACATATAAAAAGAAGAGTAAAACGTATGTATTATATTATACCGTGTACTATATATGAGTAATTCCCGCGAATCCATTGATATCTCCAATTGAACGGACCGACTGTCAATCGTCAACGCCGATGACAAAGCGGGTGGCTCTATTACGCTAGAAATATCCACTATGGAGGATCATATCTCGTGACAATATAAGCGATATGAGGCCCCGGAACATATACAATCATCGTAGCGTGCGTATCCGGCGATGAAAAATAGTTACGCTTGTGTGAGAGAGTACGTTTAAGGGTAATAAGGTAGACGCGATTCCTTAAACCCGAAGAGAAATTCAGTCTATCTTCTCGGAGGATTCGGCTCGATCCGATTCCCACGTTATTCTTAGTCATCCTGCAGGAGACGGACCTATGCTCGATGACCTATTCACGGCTCTCGAATGGGGTGTCGGAATGCGCCACCGAGAGACAGGAGTGGCTTTATAACTCACAGTGTGGCAATAAAAAAATTTCTAATGACGTTACGTGGCAATCGCCATCAAGATACCCAATGAAAAGAGTGGTGAGTAACAATTAAATAAACGATTCGGTTCTTATATCACAGTTGTAAAAACAGTTTCTGCGGAATACCAGTTAATGTCAATTGAAAGAGCGAATTTTGTAGATGTATGGCATACTGTAGTTAAAAGGCCGAGGAAGATGGGGTCCTTCCGGTCCTTCCTGTCCTCAGACGAGGGTTAAAATCAAATATATCCGCTACTTCGACGTTCCCGCGAACGACGGAAGGCTAAGCTAGACTTTTCCTACGCGCATTTTGCGACTCATGAAATGCGTGGAGTCAATACGCAAATACGATTTTAACCTCTTGTCTGCGCTGGATAATTAAGTTCTCTCTCTCTCTCTCTCTCTCTCTCTTGCGAGTAATCGATATCGAATGTTTAGGAAAAATAGCGGCCGTATCGACAAGCGCATA